TTCGCTTCAATGATATCTGGCGCCATCTAGCGTCGTGAATGGGTATAACGTCTAAACCCCGAATATAAGACGACCCCACTTTTTCAGTCTTATTTCAATACAAAAAAAACGTCTTATATTCGGGCCAATACAGTAGTTGACGTGTAATCAATCAAAAATACTTTGGATCAAAGTGTTTGAGTGTCAACATGGTTTCTACTCACTTATGATTTTCATGATTACTATTATTACTATACATACTGTGATTGATTTCTTCATTCAAAGACTTTACTTCAGCTATTCATTTTTGCATTTCCCCACCCAAGTTTCTGTACCGATGCGCGTGGTGGAGGAGCATCTTGTCGAGTCAGGGGAAGGACTCGGCAGGAAGGTGCTGGCCACAGAGTCCACAGAAAGTACAGATGGACATCGATTGAGTTTTGCCTCGCATTGGGAAGGACCGGAATGTGGCTCGAAAGTCAAATACTCCAGCTCACGGTGGTATTTATCGTCAGCGTGATCCCACCAACTGCTACATGAGGTGCTCTGGCTGAGAAAAAAAAAACACAAAACAAAACAAGAATAACATTTAATCAGATGAATCTCATGTCATGTCTTCAATGATAGTAAACAAGAGCAGAGAGATGTACTGTGTTGGCCTTACGTGTTTGAGAATGTTGAGGTGGTCGTAGGCGAGTCCCGACCGCTGTCCGAGTTGTTTTTGGTGAAATGCAAAGTGTCCTCTGTTGCTTCTTCTATTGACATCAGAAGATTCTCCTCTGAAAGACAAAAACACACGGGAAACTATAGTTGAAGCCTTTTGTGCGGAGTGAAATTGATTTACTTTTGTTACAACCTTGGATGAATATTTTCTTACCGGACAGAGTCAAAAAGTTTTTCATATTGTGGTTGTGAGCCAGCAGTGGTTTGGCAGTATCTTGCTCCTGCGCAGGGGAGTGATAGTCCACAATGTCTTTTTGGAGGGGATGGAGAAAGGCAGCAGGTGGGTCAGAGGAGGCGCGTGGGGTCAGGTGAAGCTGCATGCGAGCTTTTTTCCTCCTCAGTTGGCGTGTAGCGCACAAAGCAAGCGAGGCATCGCAGAGCTCGAGGTCTTCAGACTCTTTGAGCAGGCTGTCGCACGATGCCCAGGAAGTCGCAGTCGCTTCCTGGCATATGTCATCGGTCTGGGGCACCAAACCAGAAGCAGCCCAGAAGTCGAGGATGCTGGAGTCAAAACCTTTGCTCTCCAATAACTTGCAAAAAAAAAAAAAAATCATTCAAGAATAGGCGATCATGAATAAGACCTGGTGCTGAAGAGCAGCAGGAAAAGTATTTGTGTGTATACTCACGGATGAGGGACTATCTTGGAGTCTGCTGGAGGGTCCAGACAACGATAAAAAAGATGGCCCTGAAAGTTCTGTTTGGCCGAGGTAGACATCCATCTCCACAGAATAACAAACCGGTGAAGGAACTGACGTGTCCACGATAACCTGCATTACAAACGCACATTCAATGCTAAATGAAGACTCGATAACACAGTGACATCCGGTCAGGGTAGGCAAGTGAGGCAGTGCCACCCCATGCTGTCCCTTCTCCTGCAAGTGGAATTTTTTTTTTTTTTTTAAAAAAGATCTTATGATTATATTAAATGATATTCCATTGTAGTTCTATGGTCTGTGCTTTACATTGATTTTCTCTTTCAATAATTAGCTGAGTGTGTATATTTCCTGTGCCTCCAGTGACAATTGCTGGACTTGGGCAGTTGGCGTGAGCACTCACACAAGAGGCGTTGCATTTTTATTTTTATTCTTTGTGGCAGGGGTTCACTTTGGCCTGGGGAGTCAAGTTCAGCATTCGCTTCAATGATATCTGGCGCCATCTAGCGTCGTGAATGGGTATAAGGTCTAGACCCCGACTATAAGACGACCCCCACTTTTTCAGTCTTATTTCAATGCAAAAAAAAAAAAAAAAGTCTTATACTCGGGCCAATACGGTAGTTGACGTGTAATCAATCAAAAATGCTTTGGATCAAAGTGTTTGAGTGTCAACATGGTTTCTACTCACTTATGATTTTCATGATTACTATTATTACTATACATACTGTGATTGATTTCTTCATTCAAAGACTTTACTTCAGCTATTCATTTTTGCATTTCCCCACCCAAGTTTCTGTACCGATGCGCGTGGTGGAGGAGCATCTTGTCGAGTCAGGGGAAGGACTCGGCAGGAAGGTGCCGGCCACAGAGTCCACAGAAAGTACAGATGGACATCGATTGAGTTTTGCCTCGCATTGGGAAGGACCGGAATGTGGCTCGAAAGTCAAATACTCCAGCTCACGGTGGTATTTATCGTCAGCGTGATCCCACCAACTGCTACATGAGGTGCTCTGGCTGAGAAAAAAAAAACACAAAACAAAACAAGAATAACATTTAATCAGATGAATCTCATGTCATGTCTTCAATGATAGTAAACAAGAGCAGAGAGATGTACTGTGTTGGCCTTACGTGTTTGAGAATGTTGAGGTGGTCGTAGGCGAGTCCCGACCGCTGTCCGAGTTGTTTTTGGTGAAATGCAAAGTGTCCTCTGTTGCTTCTTCTATTGACATCAGAAGATTCTCCTCTGAAAGACAAAAACACACGGGAAACTATAGTTGAAGCCTTTTGTGCGGAGTGAAATTGATTTACTTTTGTTACAACCTTGGATGAATATTTTCTTACCGGACAGAGTCAAAAAGTTTTTCATATTGTGGTTGTGAGCCAGCAGTGGTTTGGCAGTATCTTGCTCCTGCGCAGGGGAGTGATAGTCCACAATGTCTTTTTGGAGGGGATGGAGAAAGGCAGCAGGTGGGTCAGAGGAGGCGCGTGGGGTCAGGTGAAGCTGCATGCGAGCTTTTTTCCTCCTCAGTTGGCGTGTAGCGCACAAAGCAAGCGAGGCATCGCAGAGCTCGAGGTCTTCAGACTCTTTGAGCAGGCTGTCGCACGATGCCCAGGAAGTCGCAGTCGCTTCCTGGCATATGTCATCGGTCTGGGGCACCAAACCAGAAGCAGCCCAGAAGTCGAGGATGCTGGAGTCAAAACCTTTGCTCTCCAATAACTTGCAAAAAAAAAAAAAAATCATTCAAGAATAGGCGATCATGAATAAGACCTGGTGCTGAAGAGCAGCAGGAAAAGTATTTGTGTGTATACTCACGGATGAGGGACTATCTTGGAGTCTGCTGGAGGGTCCAGACAACGATAAAAAAGATGGCCCTGAAAGTTCTGTTTGGCCGAGGTAGACATCCATCTCCACAGAATAACAAACCGGTGAAGAAGGAACTGACGTGTCCACGATAACCTGCATTACAAACGCACATTCAATGCTAAATGAAGACTCGATAACACAGTGACATCCGGTCAGGGTAGGCAAGTGAGGCAGTGCCACCCCATGCTGTCCCTTCTCCTGCAAGTGGAATTTTTTTTTTTTTTTTAAAAAAGATCTTATGATTATATTAAATGATATTCCATTGTAGTTCTATGGTCTGTGCTTTACATTGATTTTCTCTTTCAATAATTAGCTGAGTGTGTATATTTCCTGTGCCTCCAGTGACAATTGCTGGACTTGGGCAGTTGGCGTGAGCACTCACACAAGAGGCGTTGCTGTTCTTTTTTCAATATCGTGTTTAAGGACATTCAACAGTTGTCCTTAAACACGATAACTGTTGAATGTCCACGATATGGACATTCAACAGTTTGTTGAATGTATTGAATAAATGTGTGGGACAGATACGGTCACTCTCACGGTCAGAAAAGCATCTGAAAATAGGGGCTCGAGTCAAGAGGGTTGCCGCTGCCAGCACGTGCCGGCGTTTTGATCCATTGGCGAAATGGAAGAAGCCCATAGACTAGAGCATGATGTCAAAGTCAAGGCCCGGGGGCCAGATCTGGCCCGCCACGTCATTTTATTTGGCCCGCAAAAGCAAATCAAGCATGTTATGTTTGACGATGCTTGCTCAACAAATTAGTTGCTGAAGACGAGCTGGACAATGTTCCCTTACCTGACTGTGGCATTTTCTAAACAAAAAGCAGATCAAACACTGGAGAGGAAAGAGCAGCACTGCAACAACCATCCCCACAGCGACAGTTTCCATACTGAAAAGCAGTTTGGCTGACACTGGTCCACTTGTAGAAACACATCAAATGCAAATTATTTTAATGCTGTTATTGCATCCATTTCACTGCCTTGATGGTCATTCGGTTCTTACTTGTGTCCCTGGGTACCCACGGCCCCATACCACAGAGCACCCGACGCCAGATAGAGATGGAGCATGAGAGCGCTGCAGGTAACCCTCTGAGCTCGAGTAAAAACACTGTGGATGGGGCGTTCCCATAGCGACAACCACAGGTGGTGCTCCACCATTCCAAAAATCAACTGGGAGGATAGGATTCGTCGAAATTGGGAAAGCTCTTCCGGACCTGGGAAGAAAGAGTCAAACGTTTTCGGAGTTGACTTGAGGTTATTCTTTTGCTAGCTGGAAGTCAAGTAATCTTACATGAGGCCAGGATTTCTTTCTCCACTGTACCATTCTTTGGATTTTCCACAGAGAGCCAGTCATCCACCAGGAAGAAAAACATATGGTCTGTCACAGGGTCCCACACGACCACGTGCTGAACATACCAGGATGGATCCAACCCTACATGGACAGTCAAATGGAGCGATGTGCAACTCCAATGATGAAGGGGGCCGCAATTTTTCACGAGTGCTACTGGGGGACGCATAGCATGCACTTCTTAAAAACAGATTTATGACAACATATTTGAAACGTGGACAAAATACATGTGGCATATATATTTGGGCTAAATACATGCTCATAATATAAACAGGCCAGCATTCAGAAAGAAGACACGTTGGACCTTTCCGCTCTCCCCACGTACCTGTGTTGTCATGCCAGATCCGAATTTTCCAAACTTCCCCCAAGCTGACGTCTGTTTCTAAATGAAACTGGTCGAGGCTGCCACGTTGAAAAGCTCCAACCCTTTGCAGATGACGAGAGCCGCTCTTGTTGACTCCATACAGACTGATGCCAACATGTGCTGTGGTGCCTGATGGGATAACGTTCAGCATTTGCTATGAAACGTGTTATTTTTTATTGCCACTTTTGCTGACCTGCTCCATGCCTCCAACCGGTCTTAACCAGCACCCTGTAGTGGTACAGTCCTCCCCGACCGCAAAGGGGCACTTGGCTCAGCCTCAGGCCGTCCAGGTGGTCCAATTTATGGGCAATGAGTCCCACCAGCAGGTGAGTCAGGATCAGGACAGCGCATACAATTGCCACCATCACATTAAGACTGGGATCAGCTGCCTGGAAAGACATGGAGCATAATTCCAAAGGGGAGATATTTACCGGGTGACTTCCGCTTGTCACTACTCATGTGTGCTGAATTAGGCCACATACAGGCGGCAGGAGCACAACTGCCCCGGGGTGAAGAAACAAACTGGCCCCAAACATGGTGAGGTGGTGCGTCAGACAATGCACCGTTTGGAGTGTGGTGCCCTCCAATGGTTTGAGACCCTCACTACTCCAAGTCCTCTCCTTGATGCTGTAGTACTGACAAAGAGAGCTGAAGACACATAACGACACGGCAACAGGACCGCCCTGGACCTCGAATGAAGTCAGGCTGAGAGACAGAGTCTTT